TCTGTGCTTGTTTTTGTTTGTTTCCTTTTATTCGGGGAGGTGAGGGGGCGATGAGCGGTGCCTTTTAAGAAGATAAAGCATCTGCCAGCGCGTGGGTGCAGTTGCTGCAGGGGCTGCCTGAAGCCTTCCTGAGAAGCTTGCTCTTCCCCTCAAGGTATCCTCCCCACTTTCCAGTCCCCCTTTCTGTTGGGTTCCCGCTGCCGTGGGTAATGGGAGGCCTCGAATCATTTTGAGGCCTCGAATCATTTTGTGAGGAGATTCCTCTTGAAAAGTAGGCTGTAAGATATCTCTTTAACAAGGAAGTGATCCCAAGTTGCCTTCGCTAGACACGCTAAGGCCTTATTATGGGAGAGGCCTGGGGGTTGGCTCCTCTTTGTCCATCAGTTAGTTGCTTCCTCATCTATCTCTGCAGAGTATAGAGTAGAAAATGATAGCTTTAAAATTTCATTGCACGTGTGAGTCTCTATGAGAGCAGAGGTGACCCTTAGGTATGACACTGCATTTGATGCTCTTTAACTTCTTTTTTTTTTTTTTTTTTTGATGGTACGTGCTTTGAGTATCAAACTTTTTATGGTGTTGGGCCCTTTTTCTTCTTTTCATGGTTGAACAAAAGAAATGTCTGTACATGTCCCTGTGATATCTGCAGACTGGCTTTTTTATTTCCTGGAGAATGTTGGCAAGGGACAATATTGTTTTTCCTTTTAAATGATAAATAACAGGAGGAACGGCCGCTGCCCAGGAGCCCATGCTTTGCTGTCTTTAAACTGTACTTCTACAACTATTAAATTCTGCATTTTGCAGATGCGTGGTACAAATTACTTCCTGCACCCGTAAAAGAAAGAAATGAAACCAAATTATTGTTGATAATATGCTGCCTTGAAAACTCTGCCTTCTGGTTGATAGATACATTAAAATATTTACAAATACTGTGATGCATGCTCTCATACTGTGAAACATGCTTTGAATGCCATGTAGCAGAAATAATCAAATGCTGCTCTGTTGATTCAGAGATGGTCTTTTATTTCTTTTCTCATAGGTTTCCTTTTCATCACATTTTTTGTTGTATTGTAAATTTACAAAAGTTCCGTGAAATCATTTAGAGCAGTTCCACTTTGGGTGGTGGTTGTATGTGACCAGAAGAGAGTGTGCTGGTTTTCTTTGCATTTTCCAAATGAAATAGATTTAATACAATTTCTTGGGTCAACTCTTACTCAATAAATGCAGGTGAACACACCGTGACACCTGCCATAGCAATATCTTAGTTGTAGAAAGATGGCAACTGGAATGCTACCTTATCAGGAAGCATGTTAAATTTTAACTTTAAAGACCCAATCCATCACAGTCTTGATCAAAAATATTCTATGCTTACCAATTCTAAAGGCATGCAGTGGTTATCTCAATGCTTGTCTTTACATGACATGTAATGTGGATTATAGTAGAATATGAATAAAAATGCATTCAATAGCTTTTCTCCAATCACTCGATGTATGGACCCGAATTTAAGAAGAAAAGCACCTTAACACTCTGTTAAAATTGGTTGAGTTACACAGGGTGTGTTCAGTCAAGTTATATGCAGAATAATGTTCTTATTCCAAGACAAGAACAGAGAAGAATGTCCATATATCATTGTAAATTCTCGTACATTAGGACTCTTTAGTAAAATTTAATTAGGTTACATGTAAGATTTAGGGTCTCAATATATTCTTTCACTTTTGTTTTCCAGTATAAGTATAGAGACTTAACTGTCCAGGAGACCAGCAGTGTTATTACTCAGTACAAGGACCTCAAACCTGTTATGGATTCGTATGGTAAGTCGGTGTGCAAGCAAAAAAAGATGTTGGCATTGCTGATAGATTTGGTAGTATTGTGGAAAAAGGAGATTAAAGCTAAAATACAGAATTTGGGTCTTTGACATCAGTACTTCCTTAGAAACAAGTACAGTAACATAGAAGGGTTATTTAAGAAAATAAATGGCTTTACTGTGCCATGAAATGTTACATTTCCATAGCTCAGCCTTTACCTGATTGCTGTTAGAAGTCATGTTGTGCATTGCTAGTTAGTCAGCTGCTGCCCTAGAAACTGCTGGTATCCTACAGATTCAGCTTTGCTCAAATAGAAAGATATTTTTACAAGTGCGTTGACTGAAAAAGTACAGTAAGTCAATGAATAAATACTTCATAAAAGTAAATTGATGTGGCAGGGCTTAAGATTATAAGAAGTATGTGATATAGCCATGTATATAGCAAACTGGCATGAGGGGTTCTGTATATAAATCAGGAGTGATTTAAACACCTTGTCAGGCATTTCACAGGGTCTCAGTAATTTCAGTGAGTTAAATGAAGAAGGCAGCCAGGGTCAGCTTTGAGGGCATGGTGGATGGTATAGCCTTTGAGGCTGTGCTGCTCCTCACTTTTTGCTACCTCTGTCAGCTGTTAGATCCCGCCATAAACCAGTTTATCTTACCAAAATATCTACAAAAATGGGTAGTATTTTACATTCCAAATTATTATCAGGATTAATAAGTATTAAAAGGAGACATGGAAAGGTAGAAGGTAAGAGTTTTAACCTGAAAAGATGCATGTCAGCAGTTACTGGAGAAATAGGAATTCTTACTGTGGCCAGAGAATCAAAAATGATAGTGAAAGGGCTTCAGTCAAAAGAGTGCTCACAAGTTTGCATTCTGATTCAGTGTCTAAAATGCCAGGTAAGTGCAAAGCTCATTTCTGGTACCCGGATATTTCTAGAAAGGTTGAACACAAACCCACTTACAGATAATTTATAGTGCTGGGAGTAGTGAACTGAGCAATGAGAAAAGGATTACATTGCTCTTAATATTTTTCAAGTCTGTATTCAATAATGGAATATATTATCCAGTTAAGTCATGACATTTTACCTATCTCTAAAGAACATCAGCACAGAAGAACTGAAA